GTGTGGATGGATGGGATGCGGCTGAGCCTATCTCTTCTCTTCTCAATCTTTCTTTGGCGTATCCTTTCTTTCTCTTTTCTATATGAAAGAAGAAAGTGGTGTTGTGCGGTAAGTCAAAGTAGACGAATTACTCGTGGTTTGCTTAATTGGCCATAATGGCCAGACTTATTTCTTTCCTTTATTAGTTTTAGAAAAATACTAAAAAACACGGGGCTTCCGAGCAGCTCTTTCAACTGCCGCCTAATCTCTTAACAAGTTGTTTAGTTTAGTTGTTCTTCGACTTTTGAGAAGAGAGTGTACTAGTTCTTGAGAGCGAAAACTAAGAAACCTACTATAAAGAGGGTCCGGGGGACTCATTCTGACTAAAACAAGGCCAACTGCAACTCGATTGGAGGAAAGGGCTACGAGGTGACCCCCAAAATCCAAGCTAGTTTGGGCCGGCACTTTTCATTCTTCAATTCATTCGAAGGGGTAGGGTTTGATTTTCTTTTGCTCTCAATTCCATCAAGGTCTTTTGAGAAAGAAGAAAGAAATGAAGAAGTCTTTTTTTTTTGTTTTCAAAATTTGATCATGAGCAGCCCGGTCACCTTTGTTGAGCTCCTTCGTCCGTGTTAAAAAAAAGGCTTACTAAAAAAAGGTGATTCAAGCTGGTGGGAGTGGCTTCCTCCTTGTACAAGGACGGGGCTTAGTGAAGTAGAAATGGGGGTCGCGCTGCTTGCTCGACTCATCCTTTCTTTCAACCTTATTAGCGCTAGTAGGTAGGATGAGCCGGTTAATTGGCCACGGGTTGTTGATGTAGTTGCTTTTTGTTTTCTTTGATTTTGATCGAGTTGGTTTATATTTATATAAAGAGCTCAGGACAGAGAATCAATGTAAATTAGTACGCCCGGTTCACCAGGTTCTACCACTGCAGGGCCTAATCATACTCAAAAGAAAAGTTTGATCCTGGCTTCGAATGAATGCTAGCTATATACTTAACACATGCAAGACAAACGTACTGTCACGATAGAAAATAACAAAGCTACCGAACAAGGTGTAGCTACGACCAAAGCGAAACGACGATAGGAGACCAAGTTGGATTTTCTTCATTCAAAGCGCAGGTCAAAACAGGCTACGACTAGCCAATATGCTTTTCTCTCATGCCTTTCTTCTTTCATGGTTCGATATTCTGGTGTCCTAGGCATAAAGGAACCACACCAATCCATCCCGTACTTGGTGGTTAAACTCTAATGAATAGAGTATTGCTATGGCTTCTCACCCCCCTTGTCACTTAAAGGGCGAAGTCGCCAAAGCGAGTCTAAAGGCCAAAGAGTGATCTTTGAACGCTATTACACATCCTTACTCATAATAGAGTGTAAGGTAGGTTTGGGTATAGCAGGACTTGAACCTGCGACCATTAGGGTGAAAGCCCAATGCTCTACCAACTGAGTTATACACCCAAAAAAAGATGTAGTAGTAAATAAGGATTGGTGCCGAAAAGAAAAGAGGGCGGCCACTCTTTTTCTCATCATATTAAAGAGGCGTGGCTCTGTATGAGGCTTGTACTGTAGAACAAGCGAAGAAAACGCAAGGGCACGCGTTAGCTTTCCTGCAAGAAAATGGCCTAGCTAACGCGCCCCTTATTGAAAACTTAAGTTTTGCCTTGATCGATATGAGAAAGATGCGCTCAAGCACGCGAAGAAAGCCAGCCTTACTCAACAACCACCTTTCTTAGGTTGGGTGCTTGTTTCCACTCATTGAAGATTCTATCTACAAAAAAAGGTCAACGGGGGATACTCAAATTGCTCTCACTGACACCATCTACGAGAAGGTGAGGTCGTCTTTCTTTCCAGCCACCATACGGTTCGCCTTAAAGACGAAGAAGGGGAGGAGCAGTTATCTTTGTAATTACGGTCTTTGTTGGTCATTGTTCCGGTCGAACACTCTCTTTTCTTTGTAAAATTCCGTCTTACCAACCCACGAAGGGTTGTGAGATTGGACCAGGTACAAAGAATGAATCTATATCTATACACGGAAGTTGCTGGCCGGTGGCCACTCAACTGTTCGAACGCAATGCAGTGGTGTTGGTTTCTCTTTGACAAAAGGTAGAATGCCTGGTTGAAGATCCAGTACAGTAGGTAGCAGGTGTGTTCGTTTTGGCTCTCGAGCAAGAACGAGAAATAGGTGATGCACCATCCTTGTTGCTACGTATGTTGACCTTGACTTGACAGATTCATCCAATTGAATCCACACTCAAAGGAGGACCACAAGCTCGGGGCTCGACGAAATAGAAACTATCGGCATTAAGAAACTTCTTGGGGTTAGTAGTGAAATAAAGAGCCCGACATTCATTTCTTCATGAATATTCATAGCTGAGTCTACTAAAAGAGGGACCAGTCTCATCGTGGTGATTAGAGGACACCTCTGATCATTCACTTCTAATGTGACACGTTCCCCCCCAGTTATATGATCAACGGGATTAGTCGGCTAGAGAGCGGGGCTATTCTTCTTCCAAGGAGATAAAGTCGCCACTTCTACTGACCGAACCCTCAGTTCGGAAGTCTTCGTCAACATGTTACGAAGCTCTAGTCTTCGGTGGGTCACCATTACTTGACTTAGAAAGGCGACATCTGGGCAAGGGAAAACACAGTGCGCCTGGTGCAAATAGCTTTCTTTTTTCATGATATTCCAGTCAGAATGGAGGGTCCTACCTATGTACATGATTGATAGAATCACTACTATGTAGGGGGGCAATCAACTTGATGCAAGAGAGGCATGAGTGTTGTTCGATCTTGTGGTGTATTCGTTTGTAGTGAGTAAGGCCTCTTTCTCATTGATTAATTCGCCTCTCCTCTATTGAAAGGTCTCCATTCCTACGACGGTTTTGTCAACGAACGCGTCTCGGGCCAGATTTACTAACCTAACCCTTAAGGAGGCCTTGCTTTTATGTTTATAGGGTGCTCTATTTTAGTGTGATTGATGAAGGCTAGGGTAGGTATGGTAATACCCAAAACAAATGAAAAGATATCGGGGTCCATAGTTGGCAAGGAACTTGATCCTCCCCTCCCCACAAAAAAGGGGCAGCTGCGGTCGAACTCTAATTCTGGAAAGAAGTTGGGGCGTTTTTACCAAGTCTACTAGATAGAAGATGATAGAGGGCCAACAATCGTTGCGTTGCACAAGAAGGTGCCGTTTCACTTCGAGTTCCTTCCTTTGTAGTCAAATCTGATGATACGCTTTGGCGATGTTACCTACCAAAAAAAAGGCCTGCTAGGTGATCAAAATCGCTCAGGTCAATGAGGACTCACTCACTCACCTACTCCTTATCTATCTAATAGTTTCTTCTATCTACTGAATTCAAAAGGCGACCCGCCGTGCCGGGCTATAAGATAAGATAGAGCTGTTGTACTACTTGACTTGTAAGAAAGAGCTTCTGTAAGAACTGGAAGACTTTTGTATGTACGGTAACCCTCTCTTCCGCTACTAGTGGACTGTTGCACAGAAAGGCCGACAGAGGCAACGTTTCTTAACGCGATTTTCAAGCGCTTAGCTTCTGCTAGCGGTGGGGCGGCAAGGCCATAAAGTAAGTTCAGTTAGTTGGAAGCCTAAACCAAGAAGGTACAAACAAAGTGACGGGCCCCTTTAGAGTAGAGATAGGAGGCGGCTTTCTTGTGGTAGTAATTGCGAACATCTCTCCTATTCTCTTAGCGTGCATAGTTTGCTTACATGCTGCCTTAGGCACTTTTCTCTTTCTTAGTTTCATGCTGGCCTAATGAATGAAAGCTCTAAGTGAAATGCTTTTAGTAAGCGTATATAAGCAGTTGTTTAGTGTATAAGCAATTCTTTAGCGCACCAAAAGGTATGTACGGTGGAGGTTGGTTAAAGATGATGTTACGCGGCGTTCAGAACCAGTCTTGAAATGAATGAAATTAGAAAGAACGAATAAGTAAAGAAATGAGATGACTCTATCTTGAACTGTATCATAAACAAATCTTTCCCTCCACACCAATCACGAGTTTTTCTCCATTCCTCTCATATATCGTCGTAACGCCCTTAATGCTAGGTTTTGAAAAAAACTTTTCATGTCGTTCCCATTTAGGTCCGATTCGGATCCCTCCGTTGTTTCCTTTTCCTTCCGCACCTTTTCCTCGAAATGAGAAAGAAGATGGTACACTGGAATTGTATTATTTAAGTGCTTATTGCTTGCCAAAAATCCTACTTCTACAATTGGTAGGTCACCGGGTTATTTAAATAAGTCGTGTTTTCTGTGGTTTTCCCATGTTACAACTTTCGTACCAATTCGATCGATCCGGAATGGATTGGTTAAACATTCCATTAGGGAGCCTGGTCTGGACTCTTCTGTGTGGTATTCATTCTCGTTTGGCTATTGGAATCACATCCAACAGTGGTTGGAATAGCTCACAAAATCCAACCACTTCACCTACTTCATTGCCCCCAACCGTTTCTCGTACCTCTATTGAAACATAATGGTTTCATGTTCTTTCATCGATTGGTTATTCCTTTTCGTTCGTATCTCTTTCTCCAATTTTGGTCTTGATTAGTTCACAACATTGAATGGCCAATTCTTTTTCGGACCCTTGATTTGATTGCTTTCCAATAATGTTGAGCCGGGTATGGTAGCCTCAAACATAGTCAATTCTAAGAGGAGCTTAAAAGAAGGGCTTTCGGTTCTTTGCACCCCGTTTTGGTCTTGCAGCTATTTAAATCAAAATGAATATATATATAGTTGAATCTCTTTAAGAAAGATTATATATATGTCCAATCTCTAGTGGTGGTGGGACCAACCAAGATGTATGTTTTCCGACCCGACCTCAGACTCTTTCTTCACGACCTATTTGACTCTCTGGCCGCAGTTATTTAGGTGGTATCCCGAGATTGAAGAGATCGAATTCCTCCTGGGAACACACAAAACAAAGATATGAACTGAGTAAATAGAAATGGAAAAGAGATGTTTCCAATTCATCACAATTAGTTGCTTTTTCTATATCCATATGATCTACTCAAGTAGATTGGTATTGCCCATATAATAAAAACAGATCTTGGTCCATGGAGTCCCAAGAAGGTAAGAACTCCAATCTGTCCGATGCTTTTTTGGCCAAATACAATATACAAGTGGGACCTGCACTATGAGCAAGCTGTGCGAAAAATCGCTTCTTTTTTCCAGTTCTATAACAACTTGGGCGAAATAGGGTTCTACCGGGAAACCATGGATTTTTGAGTTTTCGCCATTGGTTATTGGTTGAGCCACTGCAATGGAATGAGATAAGAATCTCTGGAGATCTTTCCTCTCCACTTACTCGTAACAGGTTTTCTCTCTGTAGAAGACTTATTCCAAATGGCATAATTGTCCGATTTTTTCCTCAATCCTCAAAGAAAACTGACTCCTCTTACTCCTCCTTTATCCTTTAAGATAGGATCGTCGTTGGTCCTTCTTTCACTAATGATCTCACCATTTTATACTAGTTCGTGCGAGGGACTATCCTTTCTATCGCTTGCCCTTGCTTTTCACTCTCAAGACAAGGGTCTCTCTCTTCTATAAAGCGAAGCAAAGCGCATGGCGCTGAAGTGAAGAAAGCTCAATAAACACACATGAACACAATGCAGGGCATAGCAGAAATGAAACCGCTGATCATTTCATGAAAAATATATGCTTGACCTTTCTCGATGCTTTTTTTTGGGTGACTCACCAACCGACCTAGTAGTGATCGATGACAGAATGGTACAAGCAAATCAAAGTCATTGGATTTGGTAGTTCTCCATTGATTTCTCTCTTTACCCCTTTGCATATGTTCCTAAATGGGTGTGCACCTCCAAATGGGAGGGGGCCGGCCTCCCACTCTCTTATGTAGCATTTATTAGCTTAGCTGGGTTGGGTGGATCGTGCAAAAAGCCTCTCTCGACCCTCCGTTTCTCATAGGTCTTTATGAAAGCCTCTTGCCTTTCGAGATCCGGTCCATCATCAACTTAGTCAGATCTTCTTGTTTGTCCACTTTGATTAGGCTTCCTTTAATGGATTTGATTGGCATTTTGTGCCTGCAGCCCTGCGAAATTCAACCTCTGTTGCTTGATTTCATGCTTCCGTGTAGGCTTCATCCTCTGTTGTCCCCTGATTACCCCTTTTACCATTCATTGTCATAAACATTCTTTCAAAGGAAGAGTTTTCCCTATAATATAAGGGCTCCCTAAGACATTCTAGTATTTTATCGCTCATAAGGAAATAGCTGATCTCATATAAGTAGCGGTTGGGACAAATCCTTCTTCTATTCTAATCTCAAATGTTAGCCCTACGATTCTATTTGTTCGACTTTATTTTCACCTTTCTCCTCTTCCTCCCTCCATTAAGGACTCATCTATTACTCTGGGCTACCTTTAAATGAAGCCGAAGTAAGGTCGATGGAACTCGTTGAACACAAGCCGAGAAAAATTCTGATGTTGTTCCCCAGAAATAGTAAGTGGCATCGGAGAAGCTTGAAGCCAAAAATAGAGTTGTTTTTTGTTCTTCTTCTTCCTTCGGAGCTTTGACATTTAGCTAAGCCAGCCCCTGAATATTGAGAATTGTTCCCGAGGTGAGGAGATAAGGTTTCATTCCAATAGCACTCAGTTATTCGACCCTCCCTGAACGAGTGCTGGAAAAGGGCTTTCCCAGTGGGAGAATGTAAAAAAGAAGACATGTGGCTAGATAGCATGCATAAAATCTCTCCTCACTCAATTTCGTTAGTGAAGTGATTGATCGCAGATAGAGGGTTAGAACTAAAGTCAATGCTTTTCACAATCCCGATCATCCAATAGCTTTTAGAAGAGATTGGCTTTATGCCGAAGCTGTCTCTCGTCTTTCTGTTGCTGTGCTTCTATTTGATTTTTTAGTTTTTTGTGTGGGGTTTCCTTTAGTTGTTGGTGGAGGGTTTGATCTGTATGTCTTGCCTTTCGGCCTTCCCCTCTCAAATTGTAATGCTTACCCTTCACTTAAAAAGCCCCTCATCCGTGGAGATGACTAGGGAACTTAGTTGATTCATCTTAATCTTAGCTTGGTTCTTTTCTTTCATTCCTTTCCAATTTTATCTGCTTGTTCAGATAAAGAATGAGTATAAAATAAAGGTCAGCTGGCAAGTGTGCCACTTCTCGTGCTTGCCCAAGATAGTATAGTAGAGTAGAAGACGCTCAGACGTTTCCCATTGTCTGTCTAGGTGATTCCATAGGGGTTTCCGGTGAAGAAGAGGAGAAATCAGACCGCAATCGTTAATTAAGATCATATATTTTTTTCCACCCTATCACGAACTATGATTGAACTGTCCGGCTAGCCATCTCATATGCTTTACACATGGCATTCGATTGCTTTCATAGAGCACATCACTATCTTCAAATCTAGTCTCGGTGGATTCTTTGCTACAGCCCGGTGATTTTATAATGGATAAAGCTCCTTGATAAGAAGGCTTTCCCTCTTTCCTGTCCTTCCCATGGGCCAATTTTGAACTTCGATCGCTTTCAACTCATGCTTTCAGGCTTGCGTGCTTGTTCGAAACTCTTTCTCTGTAATCCCCATGCCATGATAGGAAAAAACTACCTACATAGGGGTACCCAAAAAAGAAAGACTTCTCCCTTAGGAGATGGTCCCATAGCGTCTATTAGAGTTTGTTGCTTGCCTTTTTATCTTTCTCCTCCTTCCGCTTCCATTCTATATCAGCTGGAAAAAGGGTTGTCCCTATGTGATTTGCCCTCCTTGATGGCTGTCTTCTAACTCTTATGGCTACTCAATGCGGCTAGAATGTGGCTAGTGCCTTTCCCTCTCCTCTAGGGAAAGAAAGTAGCTGAACCCCTTACCTTACAACTAAGCTCGGAGATCGGGATTACCCCTGTCCCTCTCTGGTCGATTGGGAGACCTAATGCTTTGAGTGCCCTTTACTTACTCTCCGCTGGAAGTAAATCAAGGGCTTTAAGGGCGCTTTCTCATTAGTTAGGTCTGGCACCTTTATAGGTCGGGGAAGAGTAGTCAGGTATGCGAGGTCGATCTCTGTCTATCGATTGGGCAAAAAAGGCTGGGATCAGTATGGGCCCTCCTATGTCTTGTAATGGACCAAGAAAGAGGGAGCATAAGGTATATCATAATAAAGTTTTGGAAGACTAAGGATTTCTCTCCCAAAAAAGTTCGATGCTATCCTCACTTAAAATATAGGTAAAGGGATTAGAAGAGTTACGGTAGAAGGGTATAGGAGTTTAAACCATTCTTGAAAGAAGAATGCCATCTAAAGGTTTTATAGTCATACCCTACTGTGAGCCTTGTTGGTCATTTGGTAAGCAAATCAATTAGGTACTGTCCGACGTAAGCCAAACTAAGAGATCCTGAACAGGTTGAACATTCTTGCTTTGTCTCGATAAGACCACGAAAAAGATATCTCTAGTGATGCCAATTTATTTTATTTTTTTTTATTATAATTGATCCAACTTGTAACTTTGGGCTTTTAGTATGATTCTCCAGCAGAAGACGATAGCGGTAGAAAGTTGCACGTAGACGCAGGCAATGAAATTGTTCTTTGCATATTATCGGAATAAAAGAAACTGTCAAGTACCCTTCTAAGGTAAGGAATTGACTGTAACCAAAAGCGAGATAGGTGAACGCAATAATGCACCCTTGTCTAAGGATAAATGACCGGTGTTTCAGGGGCTTCGAATTGAAAAGAAGAAAAGCAAGAATATGGAATAGGTGTAAACTACGTCTTACTCCGGGTCTTTGGTCCAAAGGAGAATAAACCCGAGTAACTGGATGAGGATGTGGAATAAAATGACTTTCCTCCAGTTGCAAAGATTGCAGAGGTTGATTATGGTCTGAAGCTAACAGACGGATCAGAGGTGAGCAGGGACCCCAATAAGGAGTATACCCTTTCCATAAAAGAAAGACCAACCCAATCATGATCAAATTTCACACTCGACATTCTGTGTTGCTCTTAGAGAAGTAAAGGTGGCAAGGGCTGGAAGAGAATAATCCCTATAGAGAGCGAGAGCAGAATGTACGGAGCGAGTCAGCTGATAGCTACGGCTAGGAAGCATGCAAGTGAAAGGGCAAGATGAAAGTGAAGCGGGCAAGATATGTTTTTGTTCATCAATAACCCCAAAGGGAGAGGGCGCTCGTTCTGAGTCAGGCTAAGTATCACCTCATTGGTTACAATTTGATCACTTAGTCAAATTTATTTCAGGGTCCCGCCTTCTGGATATAATCTTTCCCCTCCAGAGACCCCGAGATCAGCAAACAAAACACAGACAGAATTATTGGTCGCTTCGCTCGGTCTCACCACTCGGCAATCTACTTATTAATTAGAACCCAGATAAGTCCGATAAAAAAAATTGAAAAAGAAAAGTGCTCATGGGAGCCAGAAAGAGTGAAAGAAATATTATTAGATTAGCACTAGGAAAGGTCTCCCTTGATGCTTTGTTAATCCCATGTTAATGCCACAATTCATTCATAGAAAGATGAATGCTAAAGACTAGTTAAAGAAGAAGGCGAGCTAGCAGATGAGATAAGCGTAGAAATTCACCCAAGTAAGACCGACTTAAAGTGGATATAGTTGATCCCTATAAAAGAAAATAAAAGGGGTTCTCTCTCTCTTGATTAAGCCATTTTTAATGGCTCAAGCCCAAGGTGAGAAAGACCAGGGGTAACCACCCTTTCTAAAGTGAGCGAATGGAACTAAACTACTAGCAATCTATGGGAATGATGAAATAAGAAGAAACTCCGACGGCACTCTGCTCATGGTTTTGTTTTAAGGTAAGGAAGTTGAATGTGAACTGTTCTTGACTGTTAGCTCAAAGGGAGTGAAGTCTGCCTATCAATCTTAATAAAAGTACGCCCTCCCTCTTGTCAACTCTGAACTCATGGTTGAATGTGAACAAGGAAGAAGCAGTCTTAGCTACAGTTATCGTTGAAGGAAGGAAGGGCTTAGAGCATAGTCCTTACTTTAAGTAGGAACCATCCAAAGCAATCCATTTCTCTCCCTGCTAAGAAGATTGGAATGGAATTAACCCGAGTTCTGAAACCTTCTCTTGATTTAGAAGTCAAAGAAGCCTTGGTGCCTAGCGAAAGCGTGTTCTTACCCTTTGCCCCGAGGGGGGGAAACTAACTCATTAGGGCGAGGGAAAGCAAGTCACAGATATCTCCTGGGGAAGGGACACGACAAAGCTTGTCTAAGGCTGATTGAGCTCATACCAAGAAATTTCATATTAATAGATAGAAGTAGGAAAAGTCCTAATGGAGGCAAAAGGTGTAGAGGCCCTGCTCCCAAGTCCTCTTTTAGAAGCAGTGATTGCTTTTTTAGCTCTCTTTCTCAAAGTGAGTGCAAAAAATAAATAGAAC